GGTCATATCCATTACGCTGAGAATTCCTGCTTCAGAATGTGTAGTTACATTTTCCCTTTCCCCCCTTCTAGGTGTATTTTCATAACTGCTTTGTGTGGTTTTACCTGGGTCAAGCTAAGACTGCCTATAAACTTTAAAGTATATGAATATTAGAGGGGTGAGAAACTAATGTGGTTTTGTTTTCAGTTGTTGTGAGTAGTATTTTATATCTACAGACATATGGGTTACTGGACAGTGTCATAAGAGTGGTTACAGAACTAATTGTCTTTACCCATCTGAATGTTTAAACAAAATGTTATGGCCATGCAAGGTGCTAGGTAAGTCTAGTTTAATCAATTTACAAGACACAAAGTATAGGCAGCGGAGCTTCATGCCGAACATCCCACCAATAAGTCTCAACCTTGGCCTACAAAAGATCAGGCCTACAAAGACCAGCGCTTATAGTGAAAAATCTCATCCATCCTGATAGTCCTGTTCATTATAAAAAGAATTCAAGCAATTTTTATCTACATCTTTTGATGAAGGTAACTTTTCACTAAGAACTTAATTGAGACTAGTAGTTCACATATACTGTTACCTACCTGACTTCTGTTCCCTAGTAGAGCCAGTTGAGAATTTTCTGACGAAACAAACTAATCTGTCAAACCAGAAATGTTTTCCGAAAATATCTTGGTTTAATTAATTTTTCTGATCAGTTCACTTGGGTAGCTGCTGGGAAATCAGAGGTTCCATGGTAGGGGTTCCTAAGTTCACTCTGATCAGTTTCACTGCTGTTATTCTGTAGCGGACACTTGGAAACCTAACAAGAATCATTTCAATACCAGTAAGCAGCTGCAGGGGATCCCAAGGAATACATTTTCTTTGAGGAACATTATGAGTAAAATGAAATATAATTATATGAAAGGACATACCTAGGAATTAAAGCGTTCTGGAAATTTCTAGGTTTTGGCTCTTGCCCTGATTCTAAACAAAAAATAAATTCTCCCAGATTAGAAGATTGCTTTAGATGAAAGTCAGTATTCCAATCAGTTTCATTCACTGGTATTGGAGCCATATTTAGACTACCTACCCAAAGGTAAAAAGGTTTCTCACAGGAAGGTGTGAGATTACAACTTGGGGTGGAAAGGGGGACTTAATCCATTTTAGGAAAGGGAAGGCCTTAACATTTATTTTATATTAATAGTAATCTGCTCTGATCCTGAAATGAAGGTGCAGAACTTGACATGGAAGAATTTATGAGACCTTTTGAAAACTGTACTAATGCCATTCTTGTGAGAGCATCCAAATAGGTAGAAAGAAAGCAAATAATCTTTCCCTCATCTGTATATCCTTTTTTCTCCACTGCAGATGGTGACAGCAGGGAGTTAAGCAATGAGTGCAAAATATTCTTTTTATTGACACTTGACTTTCTATTGCAACCAGGTGTTTCAAACAGAGCAGGGTCACAGGTGGCAATGATAATTTGAGCCAGGGCTGAGGTCTTATTTTTATTAGATAAAAATATCTATGACATGTCTACAGTACGGTTTCCGCTACTGACACCACCAAAGGAACTAGACCTACGGGAAATCATGGACATGAAGTTTGCTAGACTAGACGCAATCTATGGGGAGGAAGTTTGTTTCTTTATTTGGTAGGTCAACTCAGAACTGAACCTCAGACCAGAAGGCTTAAAATAACATACTGCTACAGTCTGGAACCTCACAAAGGAGTGAACCAGAAATCAGGTAAGCACCCTCTCCTTCAAAAAAACAATTTCTAGAAGCAGAAAGCATTCATATTTATAAAACCTGCCTTGTACAAAAAACCAAAACAAAACCAAAACAAAACAAAAAAACCCTGAGGGGGTTAAGCCCCCTCACAAAGCTAAGTGTGGCAGCTGCATCCATTTTACAGCCACTTTTGAGTGGAAGAAAGTATTGAATAAAGTTTCCATGAGAGGGAATGGTCCAATAGGGAGACAGACCAGCCTGAAGTACTCAAGCCACTTGATCCTTGTCAGAGTTCATAGGTGGGAAAGACTTGGCAAAAACAGAAGAAAGGCTCACAATGCCTTTGATCAGAACTGACTTAGAATGCTAAACCAAGAGGAATTTTCAACACTGAACTTAATGTGAATTGAAGTTCATATGCTCCTGTTTAAACACAGATTAGATTTTCTGTCAGACCAATACCAGTGAAAAGCTGACATTTTAATTAATACAACTAAATCTATCTTCCCATTACAAAAATATTCCCTATTTTAATAATTCAATATTCCACTGTAGAGAAAGGGAATACAACAGCACATGTTATTTTAAATTCAAGGAGAAATGAGGCTAAAGGTTCACTGTTATTTTTTTTTTTTAAGTAAAACAAGCCAAAATGCAAGCAATCCAGGTTTTCAGGGGTTTTTTTTCTTTAACAGAGCTGGACAGTAGGCCTGTGCAAAGCAGCTAGTATTCGCTTCTGATTCAGATTCGGCTGATTCAGGGGACAGTGATTCGATTTGGTGGTTTGAATCACTGTCCCAAATCTGATTTGGAGATTTGGCCACTGTGCAAATCGGCTGAATCTCCAAATCAAATAGGCCCCATCCCCTGCCCACTCTCCCAGCCCCATCAATGGCTGCCCCGCCCAGCCCCAGCATCCCTGCACTTTGAAAGAAAAAAAAAAGCCCCGCATTCACTGGCTTCTGCCAGGTGGGGCGGTGATCCCTGCTGCACACCCGACTGCCCTCTGCTGCATGGGGGGCCTCTGCCATGAGCCCCCAGGAGCCCTGAAAACTGCTGCAGCAGCTGGTGAATGCAAGGATTTTTTTTTTCTTTTCTTTTTTTAAGTGTTGTGATGCTGGGGCCAGGCGGGGCAGCCATT